CACAGGGCCCCCAAATTAAAAGGGCCCCAAAATCCAATTTACAATATATCATATAGGCTGCATCAAAATTTCACAAAATATGTTGTAGCGTAGTGGTAAAGCGGCAAATCACAACAATGATTCTTACCCACCTAGAGTAGCAGGGTTCGAATCTCATGGGAACCATTTTTTTAGTCCAAGGTCCTTTTTTGTGTTTAGTTCTAACTTCTAAGTCCTTAGTAACTCTTTATGTTCTACGTTCTTAGCACCTCAATAAAGCTTAATGTATTAGTCCCAATTAATTATCTAAAGTCTGAATGTCTATTTATTTATTTATTTATTTATTTTGAACTTATTCAAGTCTTGATAAGTAGTATTTTTTATCTTTCATGAATTAACTATATCTCCCATCAAATTAAAATTCATCCTCCTTTCACTTGTTGCTACGTGTATAAAAATTCACCATTATCCTTAATGCTAAAACATTTCACGATTTATATCACATATTGTATAATCATTTATATTAGCTTCCTCCTTCAAAATTAAAACTTGATATATTATTTTATACTTATCCGTATTTTGTTATTAGCTTCTTATTTAGTTTTCCACAAGTGAAAATTGTATTTTACCTTACAAGGAAAAAAAAACAAAAAAATATAAAATTAGAATTTCAATCTATCTTATTGTTAAATTTTTTATTAAAAATAATATCAATTTTGGGGCCTAATTATTAAAATTAGCACAGGGCCCCCAAAATATATAGGACGGCCCTGGGTGGAAACAGTGACCTTGTTTTGTTCCATAGTAGTGACCCTAGTGGTAAGGGTTTGCATCATGGAAGACAGTGCCTCAATGGGTTTGTTGATGTTCTCAATGTCTTCTTTAGTGGCCATTGAAAGGTGATGAGTAATGGAGATGGCAAAGTTCTCTTTGAACGCCTATTAGATCTGAGAGATTGTTGCAGTAATGACTCGAACTGTATTAATCTATCCCTGTTCCTTGAACAAGTACTGTGAAATAAATAATTCACTTAATAGTTTGACTCATTGCTCAAGATAGGAAAGGAAGGAAAAAAATAGACATTTGAAAACAGGTGAGAAATCTCCACTCATTTTTTTATTATGACGAAAAAAAAGGTGCATGAACCTAATATACGATCATAAACGACCTGGTGCACGACTCTAGTCGGAACATAAAGAAATTATGTGGACTATACTTGACTCGTGAGTGACTAAGTGATGTCATAAGACTCGTGGTATGATCGTATGGCTAGACATGTGAACAATAACCAAAATGACAGACGCGAGGACCAAATTAACACGGAAGTTGGACTTATTTCAAGGGCACTGTGACACGGAAAACTGTATCGTGTCACGTGACAAGCTGCCGTGATGCGGTGGTTTTTTTTTTTTTTTGGGAAATCCACCGTGCCACGGTGGAAATTTCCGTGACACGATGAACTTTCCCGTGCCACAGGGAATTTTTTTTTTTTTTTTGGAAATCCACTGCGTCACGGTAAAAATTTGTCGTGACACGGTAGAGTTTCCCGTGGAGCGGCATACTTTTTTTTTTTTTTGCTGTAGGTCCACCGCGCCACGGTGGACTGTGCCGTGACACGATGGAGTTTCCCGTGGCGCGGTAAACATTCCCGCGCCACGATGGATGCTGACGTGGCACGGGGATTTTTTGTTTTTTTTTGCAAATCCACCGTGTCACGGTGAAAATTTGCCGTGACACGATAGAGTTTCCCGTGGTGCGGCAGACTTTTTTATTTTTTTTTTTTGCTGCAGGTCCACCGCGTCACGGTGGACTGTGTTGTGACACGATGGAGTTTCCCGTGGCGCGGTAAACATTCCCGTGCCACGGTGGATGCTGACGTGGCACGGGGAATTTTTTTTTTTTGTTTTTTTGGAAATCCACCGTGGCGCGGCAGACTTTTTTTTTTTTTTTTTTTTTGCTAATTACTAAGTGAGTACGGTCCATTGGCAATCGTTAGTCATAAAATAATCCACCATAGACAAGGAAAGATCGTTAAGGTTAGGATCAAAACGACCAAACATAAAACACGTAGGCACAATGATGCAAAGAATAGTTCGCAACCTAAGGTCAAGTTCTATGTTCGACTATGGTCAAGTTTATTTGGTGTCAATAGGGTACCATGGTTAAGAGTTTGGACGCGTTAGCAAGGCAGCCTCCCTTGAGGGTGTATGCCAACAGGCGGCTCCGCGAGTTCGTGATGAAATCGAACTCGACTCCATGGTTTGGGTGGATTTAATAACTCGGATGAACCCTTATTGCCATGAGCGTTTTTGGGTTGATAGAGCTTAAATCCCCCAGGGCTAAGACGTATGTAGAACACATACGTTTTTTTAGAAAAACCGAAGGAAGTTGACTGTGAGAAGAGAAAATAAGCAACCGGACTGATTTTAGGACTGCCGTGACACGGCAAAAATTCCCGTGCCACGGTACTGCACACCGTTAGACGGTGCACTGTACCGTGATACGGAAGATTTTGCCGTGGCACGGTAGTCAGAAAATCTAACTGGTGCCCTGTTTTCCTTCGTACGCAATCAAGTTATTCAATTTTTCCTACGGGACAGACCTAAATGCAACGTTAAAACGTCTATGCATATGCAAAAATTCCAAATTAATCACAGGAATATTTTTTCAAGAATCTTTCAAGTCTCATCCACTCATCTCAATTAAATACCGATCACTCAAATCGATAAATAACCAAGAATCCTCCCCAGTGGAGTCGCCAAATTGTAGGCGTCGCTCGAAGTGCGCCTACGTTAAAAGCATGTGTGAATATGCTTGGCACTGATAGGAAGTAGGAATTGACATAATACGACTATGGACAAGGAAAGTAGGGAGCCGCCAACAAGTTTTTAAGGAACTTGTAAACCGTTCACGGATCATAAAAGGCAACCACGATTAAGGGACAACGAAGGCAACAACGATTGACCCGTGAAGGTTACACCCCATTCATAATCCATGAGATTACTAACTCCATATGGTTCGGAACCACGAAAGGAGGATCGGGGATGATGGTACGAAGTGAGTCATGGAGTCACATTCGCCCGTATTGGCCTCTACTCGATTCTTATAGTGAAAAATGATTCTTGCGATCTCAAAGGCATGCAAACAAATATTCAATTCGCTCTAAACTATTATTATGCTAAATTGGTTGAATATTAATGCAACACATTATTCTAAAATATCGTGATCACTTGAATTAATAAACAAGATTAAAAAGGAACCTAAACCGGTTGTCCAAATTATCTTATTAGGCGTGATTTTCAATTACATATTCCCTTTAAACATGCAATATGGTGATCATAAATAATAATAGAATAAACATTAATATTGGAAGCAATTTAGCAATAATTCCAACAATATAAAATCGTTAGAAAAATAATAGAAATAAGAGGAACATAATTCTTACTTTGATTCTGTTTGTTTGCAACTACAAAATAATAAACGAGTTAGTAACTTCAAGGAAATAATAATAAAACAACAATTAAATTAAATTAAACAAAGTAGAGTTGATTTGGGGTCAAACCCTCAAACAGTTCTACTTTTCACGCCTTGGCTTAAGGACAGAACCACAAGTAAAGTATGGACTCCTTGGAGTACTTAAAGAAGGAATTTTGAAATAAGAAGGGTAGGCTAGTGTTTAGGCTAAAGCATAGAAGAGAGAAAAATAAACTAGAGAGTTAATTGATGCCCCGTACATCAGAAATGAGGGGGTATTTATAGAGAAAATGTGCCGAGGGAGCACACGGAACCCTGAAATGATAAAAACCCTAAAAAAGTATCCCGCGACATGGCAAACTGTACCGTGACACGAGAAGTCCCACCGTCATACGGGAAACATTCCCGTGACACGGTGCATTTTTAGCGTGACGCGGGAATTTTTTAGTAAACGGGGAAGAAAACGCGTTAAGGGTTTACGCGGAAAAGACACGGAAATTCCCGTGTCACGACAGATTTCCCGTGTCACGAGAAATCTCACCGTCAGACGGGAATGATTCCCGTGACACGGTGGGTACCTGCCGTGGCGCGGGAATTCCCAGCCCCCTTTTCCGTCTAAATACATTTTTAACCCTAATTTCGTTCAGCATTTTTAAGTGCCGATTGATAATTTCGGGCCTTTTTTTGATTTATTATTATTTGGGCTAAAATAAGAAAATAATTAAATAAAATAAAAAAAAGGTTTGGGCCAAAAATAAATAATAAATTTGGGCTGAAATTAAAACTATGCTTTTACCAAACATCAAGACTAATCCATGGACTGTTCAAAAATATGAATTTAATCAAATACGATTTTTTAAGCACTCTCAAGATTAAATACTGAACCCGATCAATAGTGGCGGTGAAGGTTGTTCATCACCGGGTTTGGTTTTGGGGAGACATTTTTAGGTGTCTACACTAAGCGTGTTAATGACAACTTTACGCTTATCCAAACGGTGTTGCAAAGTGAAAACTTTGACCCCTCAAATCTCATTACTCCAGAAGAAGGAATAGTTCAAGGATGGCGAAAGACCGTGAAGGTGACTACACTAAGTGGAAGAAAAAACTCCATCACTACAGGACAAGGACCAATGTTCAATGAGTCTGAGTTTGAGTCTGGATTCGAGTCTTCTATTATTGAGTCTTCTAAATTTCCCATAGTTGCATCTCCTTCTATTACTCCTAGTTTAGAACCTACTCCTAGGATAGTTAGTAGTCAAGTCCCAACTGATGTTTCTCTTTTTGATGTAACGGTTTCAGAATTCAATAATATGTCTTCTTTCGCTTACTCCTCGTGTCACTCTCTTACCCAAGATAACGAGAATTACTTTGCTAACAACAAAAATGACAAAGAAATAATTAAAGCAGTGGAAACACTTGAAAATAAATCACCGATAATTGAGGATCACTACTACAAAAAGTGGCAAAGGGACCCCTTTTAAGAGACCCGTTGTACAATTTAACGGGTCTATTTTATATAAAAGACCCTACATTATACGTAACGAGTCTATAAAAGTAGGCGCCAACATTATATTTTGCGGTTTTAAATAAGAATTAATATAAAAGACCCGTAGTACAATGGATCTCTTAGGTAAGAAACATGTTGTTAGGTACAACGGGTCTCATACATATAAATTAAAAAAAATGAGTTAAAAAAATGAGTGCGATCAATTTTTATCGAGTTCCATTTTTCTGTTTTGCATGCTGCCTCTTATTTTCCATTTCCCTCCCAAAATAAACCCTTTCTTCAATTAACCCTCTTCAATTTTATATTGTTGCAATTTCAATTCCTCTGTTGGATTTCATCTCCAAAATTCCAAAGTCCCGAACTTGTTTTTGTTAGCTGCGGCCAGTATAGTGGACAGCCGTCATCGTATAATCGGATTTCGCATGAGCAAAGAACGAGCAGCTCCTCCACGTATATTCGGATTTCCCACCTCCATGGCTCCACCGTACCCCAACTTTCATTCACCGCAAAGTTAAAGGTTAGAATTTTTGCTTAATTGATGCATACCGCTTTTAGGTCATTGAGATTTTGAATGTCGGCAATCTCAATCCTGATTTTAAATATTTTCATTTGAAATATTAAGCACCAGCCTTGGCAGGGCAGCTGCAGCCTTGCCTTAGCAGGGCAGCAGCTGCAGCCTTGCCTTGGCAAGGAAGCAATGTGTGTTAGTTTGAGCTAAGTTTGGTTATTATATATCATTGTGGGATTTGTTAAGACATTACAATGGCTACCTAGTTGCGAACTCGAGTTGGAAGATTCTTGAGCGGTTTGGGGGTGTTTATATCCATAATCCATTCCAAAATAGGCTATAGTTCCTGGGGATAATGGAAAGAAGCTAGAAATGGTAGAGTGTGCATAAAAGTTTGTTTATAAATTTAAGATTGCAATGTATATAATATAGGTTAAAGGTGTACTTAACCCTGGAAGAATAAGTTTAGTTGAGCCTTGATTAGGCATAAATCTCTGTCATGTATTTTAGTACCAAGACATTGGTGAATTTTGATTTAATTTCCCTGTGTTGTTGCAAAACTTGCAATGTTGTGTTTTGATGCTAAAGCTTGTTAAACTGAAATTGCAATGTTGCCAACCCAGGGGTATGATGCACTTTGGGGACGGGTGTAGTTGAGCTTAGATTGGACATTTTGTCATTGTAATTTTTTTGGTTACTTTCTGGTTTTCACCCTTTTTTTTAATGTTGTGGTTTGATTTGTTTATGTGCTGTTATATGTCAAGTGGCTTACAATATAGCTTTAGATGTATGATGGTCTTTCATGAGTGGGTTTACTTGTGCATTAGAACCAACACGAGGAAGCTAAGCTCTGAAAAAATTAGTCTGTGTCAAATTTCAGTGTCATGTGTCCAAGTATAATGTACTGATGTCCTATTGTAAGTGTCTGCATTAAGGTTTAAAGGTCATTCGAGAACAGTCAAAAGACTAGATTTTCATTCTGCTTATGCTCAGAGTTGCAAATTAAGTTTTCGCCTTCTATAGTAGTGTCATCCCAATTAGAGAAAGTTGCACCAGCCCAAGTCTCTGTCAAACCATATCCTTGTCCAATAGGCGCCCTGAGCATCATGAATGTAACTATCCACTCAGGTTAAGAAATCCAAACATGACATAAGAGAATGTCAATATCAAAACATGTTCATGTAATTTCTTCATCATAAATCTAAACTAGAGCCTATTGCACAAGCATCTACAGCCTACAGGGCGTATGCAATAGACTAGCCACTCAAGTAAATGACAACAACTATGATAAACAACCAACAGAGGAACAACCAGAATAGCCAGGGGAAGCTTGGAGATTTTTTTATTAAAGAAGGAAGATTAAGGCAACGGTTACAATCTACTACTACAGCTACTGTAACATAAAAATGGAGTCTTGGAGCTCACTTCTATTACTACTACTAGTCTATTGAGATAACAAAAAACATGCATAACATTTTCTTTCCCCCCTTCCCTCAAATATCAAGCATCCTCTCTTCTCATGTGACCTAGGAATTAGGAGCTGTCATGTACTGGCAGTGTGCCCTCACAACATTCCTTTGCCACACTCCTTAGTGGAGAATTAATTGATTTTGTCTTTACTTGCTGCTGTCCAAATTTGATTGTTGTTTCTTGTTGTTTTCCTTGTTTTGCCTCTTTCTCCTTCTTGTATAGACTCGGATTGTTGGAGATGGATCCACTCGATCCATTGCAGTGTATCGGCAACAAGAAAAACTATAGCCAAAGGTTTTATTTCCGCATACAGGAAGGTTAGAGGTGATTCAAAATTGAATTTTTACTGTATGTGAATTAGTTTTGAAATTCTGAAAATAAGTTCTGAAATTCAATTTGGTTTGTTTCTGAAATTCAGTTATGAGCTTTGGTTCACATATTCCATTTTCAGCTGAGATTTGACATTGTAGTAGAAAAATTCAATTTTCAAATTCAGTTATGAGCTTATGTTGGTAGTGGGAGGGTGTTCTACTGCTGCTGTGTTGGTAGTAGGGTGGTTGTCTGCTGCTGTTGTCTTTTGTCTTCTTTTGTACACGATAGTGACTGGTGGACGGTGTTGGTGCATTGCACAGCGGCTGTTGCCTTGCCTTGGCAGGGCAACGGCTGCCGCCTTGCCTTGGCAGGGCAGCAGCTGTAGCCTTGTGTGAGAGAATCAACCCCCACTTACACCAAGACTCACGAAATAGGGAGAATACAATGAAACTAGAGCAAATAAGGCAGCAAGTTGTTATGTACTCGGTTTGCACTCAACAATAATGTAATTATTTTGCATAATTTAAGAAGGAAAGCTTGATGATGGAGCCTCTGAATGATTCTCAACTACAAGAAAATAGGAAGAAAACGGCATATTGTAATTGATATAGTCGGTTGACCCGAGTCCATCATAGTTGTTGCTGTTGTGTGTCTTGTGGGTTGCAAGGGGTGTTTGTACCTCCTGTTGCTGCTGCTTTCGTCTGTGATATGTGTGTAAAATAGGCGGTCTGGTTCGGTTTATTACACTAATGGGGTATAATAATAGGTTGAGGCTTTAAATCTCTCAAATAGCTGACCTTAAGGTTAATAATGTGTTGCACCCTCACCCCCTACGCACACTCCCCAACCCTGCACACCCCTTTCCCTGCCTTGCCCTTACCTGAAATCAGTCTCGAAATTTAGATCTAAATTCAGTTCTGAATTTAGTTCTAAAATTTGGAACTGAAAATAAGTTTTGAGATTCAATTTTGTTTTGGTTCTTAAATTCAGTTATGACCTTTGGTTCACATACTCAATTTTCAACTGAGATTTTACACTGAAGTAGAAAAATTCAGTTTTCAAATTCAGTTATGAGCTTTACTTTTTCTATTTACGTTGCAGTTCTTTACTCAAGAAGCTTATTCATCAGAACAAATTGATGAGATACGAGATATTTGGGTTTAATATTTTCTTAAGCAACTAATTTAAGCTAATGAAGAAGTCATAGGAGGAAAGGTAATCAATACTTTTTTAAAATCATTTTTTATCTTATTTTATTTGTAAAAGTAACTGAGTTGATGATGGGTCTTTTGATTTCTCAGCAATACTTCCTAACTATAATGCTGATTTGTTATTGTATGTTAGCCTATTCCTGAGGTCTTTTGCATACTGTGCCTTTTGGTTATATATATATTTTTACTGCTAATTGCTATGGATTTCATTTTGTAATGTGAAAAACCCTATTTTTCATTTAATTTATGCCTTTTTGTAAAAATATTCTATGCAAGTCAAGCTCTCAGGAGCAGTTAGTAGCCAACATTTGACTGCGCTGCTCATATATGGCAACACCTTTAGGTCTTGGAAACGTTGAAGTTGAAATCAAAAGATGGTAGTATGGTAATTGTTTCGTTTTGGTTCACAACACACACTTTTGGAACATATGTTGTGCTGATGTTTTTGGAAACAATGGTTGATTTATAGTGTCATGGTTTTTTTTTTTTTTTTAATGAATTTATGGTGTACATGGTAGAATGGGAGAAAGCTAAGGGTTAGATTTTTTTTGTGTAATGGTGTAATTGTGGGTGGCACAAAATTTTATGGATGAGTTTTTTGTAATGGAATTGATTGAATTATATATGAAGTAGGTTTAAAAATTTATTTGTCAAGAAATTTTATTGAATTACATATTATGCAGGTTAGTTTTACAAGGAAATTACCAGGTAATTATTGAAAAAATTGCTGGGAAAAAAAACAATTTAGATATTTTAATGATTTGAAAAAAAAACATAAAGGTTTGCTAACAGACCTGTTAGGTTAAGAACAGATTTTTCAGGTTAATGAATTGAATAAATAAAAAAAAATCAAAGAGACCCCATATCTTTCATATACGGTCTGAATTTAATTTTTCAAAAGGACCTTATTTCTCTTGTAACGGGTATGTTTTATCCATCAAACATACCCTATTTCTTTTACAATGGGTCTCTTATCCTTATTAATTTATTCTAAAAGAGGTAATATAACAAACCTGGCGTTTTGCATAACGGGTCTTTTCTCTTTTAAAAAGAGACCCCACCCATAGAGGCAATCTGTTTATACCCCTTAGATAGAGACCCGTTGATAGGTGGTTTGTAAAGGATATTTCAACGGGTCTCTTTGCTACTTTTTGTAGTAGTGGATACCAAAATAGTTAGTATCTCAAAAGATCTAACTATTAAAAGAGAAGTTAAGATTGGTTTAACTCTTAATAAAGAAGAAAGAATCTATTTAATTGATCTATTAAAAGAATATATCGATGTTTTTGTCTGGTCATATGAAGATATGCCATGAATAAATAGAGAAATTTCTCAACATACTATACCATTAATTTTAGGAATGAAACCTGTAAAACAAAAGTTACGTTGATTGAAACCCGATTTAGCTCTTAAAATAAAAGAAGAGGTTCAAAAACAAATAACTGCAGGTTTTATCAAAGTATCCAAATACCTTGAATGGGTTGCTAACGTGGTACCAGTTCCTAAGAAAGATGGTAGGGTAAGAATGTGTGTCGACTACAGAGATCTAAATAAGCCAAGTCTAAAGGAAGATTTCCCTTTACCACACATCGATATTCTGGTAGATAATACAGCTAATCATGCACTTCTCTCATTCATGGATGGGTACGCAGGTTATAACCGTCGTGGTCGAAGAAGACATGGAAAATACCACCTTTATAACACCTTAGGGCACTTAATATTACACAATGATGTCATTTGGGTTAAAAAATTATATGCGGGTGCCACTTACCAAAGAGCAGTGACTGCCTTGATCCATGACATGATGCATAAAAAGGTTGAATTATGTGTGAACGATATGATTATAATATTGAAAGATCGTCCCGAACATCAAATAGCCTTGAGAAGGTTCTTTAAAAGATTAAGAAAATACAACATGAGGCTAAACCCAGCGAAGTGTGCTTCTGAAGTCACCTTAGGAAAACTCTTAGGCTATGTTATTAGCTCTAGAGGAATAGAAATAGATCCAACCAAGATCAAGGCAATCATGTCAATGCCACCGCCCAAGATTGAGAAACAAATTCGAGGATTCATTGGCCGGTTGCAAATACATAAGTAGGTTCATATCCAAACTTACCACGATATGTGAACCAATATTTAAGAAGCTCAAAAAGAATGTGCCATTAATATGGGATAAAGAATGTCAAAAAGCCTTTGATAAGATCAAAGACTACCTCACTAATCCTCTTGTATTAGCACCTGCACTCCCAGAAATTCATCTTTGCCTATACCTCAAAGTTATTAAAGAAACAATGGGAGATATGCTCGCACAAGAAGTAGAAGGCAAGGAAAACACCATCTACTACCTAAGTAAGAAGATGCTTGAGTATGAAGCACGCTACACACCTCTAGAAAAGTTGTGCCTCGCACTCGTGTGGGCCACAACCAAGCTAAGACACTACAATGCTTGTCCATACGGTATATGTAGTATCACAAATGGATCCCCTTAAGTGCCTTTTTGAGAAATCTACACTCGACGGGTGAATACCTAGATGGATAGTCAAACAAGCCTAATTTTATGTAAGATTCATGCCTTAAAAAGCCATTAAAGGATCTGTGGTTTTAGATTTCTTAGCAGACTTCTCGATCGAAGACTCAACGCCAATACATGAAAATGACTTTCCAAATGAAGACTTAATGCTCCAGAAGATGATACTTGGACACTATACTTTGATGGAGAATCAAACTAGAAAGGATGTGGTGTAGGAGTTCTATTAGTATCACCTAAAGAAGAGCATGTCCCAATCTCAATCAAGTTAGATTTCGACGTTACCAATAATGCTGCGAAATATGAAGCATGTGTGGTAGGCCTCGAAACTTCTTGAGATTGGGAGTGAAGAAACATCGAATATTTGGAGATTCTTCCCTCATTATTAACCAAATCTCCAAAACATGGAAAGTAAGAAGTGAAAGTTTAGCTCCTTACTAAACATATATAGAAACACTTATTAATCAACTCAAGAAATTAGAGTACACCTACTTACTAAGAGAAGAGAATCAGTTTGCTGATGCCTTGGCAAGACCAGCTTTAATGATTAGAATTCCTAAGAAAATTGAACAAATGCCTTTGACAATAAAGAAAAGGCATAAACCAGCTTATATTCAAGCTATCAAAGATGAGAAAGTAGTCCAAGAAGAGGAAGAGGAAGAACCATGGTATGTCGAAACCGATTATAGACAACTCGAGATGCTAAGAAAAAAAGAGAACGAAGGCTTTACTTCCTTCTTCAATAAGTGGAGGGAAACTTCCGCTATGATGATTGAGATGCCCACTGAAAAAGAGCCTGTGAGGATGTTTATCAAGAATCTCCAAGAAAAGTATTCAAAGCATTTAAAATATCAACACAATCTGAATACTTTCAAGGCCGTTTATGACATCAGAATTGAAATCGAAGATGACCTCGCAAAACAAAAAGCTACTAATAATAATAACCACCGTGGCTGGAAAGGAAAGAAGAACGACAAACCTTCTTCTTTCGAAAACGCCCACTCTAGTAGTAATGTTAGTACCTTTGACTATAATGGTGTCTTAGCCATGGACAATCAAGGATCCAAAAGGAAACCCAGGAGAGAGTTCACACCCATTGGAATGATCTACGATGCTGCTTTCGATCGTCTCTATGATCGAGGATTAATCAAACCTATTGGCCCTACTAAGGATCCAACACCAGAAAATCGATCTTCGAGATGGAATCCCAACTCTTATTGCAAGTACCATCGAGGACGCGGTCATACCACTGATGAATGTTATAGGTTTCAAAATCTCATTCAAGATCTCATAGATGCAAATAAGATCCCATTGCCTCTAGCTAACGAGAAGACTGGGTGATGATGAAGCAAACAACACAAGACAAGAGGCGAGTTGCAACGACAAGATTTCATGACCTCTTTTTCTATTTCTTTTTCATTTTTTCCTCTTCCAAATAAGTCTAGCATAGACACCTTTCTTTTCCCTTAGATTAATTTTGTAGATTCTTTCTTTTTTCCCTTTTAATAAAATGAGCATTTACTTTCTTGCATATGATCATTGCATTGCATTACCAAAAAAAAAATGTCAAACTTAGCACAAGGTATACCAATTATTTGAGGCACCCCTTGTAGCCACATCATATCACCTTTCACCCTTCAAATATGCAATCCTTGTTTGATAAACCACTTTGTGCCTCGTCTAACGATAGACCTTTTATTTTTCAACCCATATCTACCTAACCTTGGGATGGGATGGTGTGTAACTTATGTAATTTTCAAAGAACAAAAGCTTGAGTGATTCAAAATATTAAAATAGCAAAAAATAAGCAAAAAAATAAATAAAAGTGTACAAAAGGGCAAGTGTTCCAATGTCTTTGATATGAACACCTCAAATTGCGTCTCTTATCGAGTGCTCGGTAGCGTGCCTGAGAAACATGAATGCGAAGTGAGCGATAGACCGCATGATCGTGATTTCCCACACTTATAAAAATAAAATTAATGCTAAAGAAAAAAAAAAAGCAAAAAAAGAGCTAAAAACGAGTAGTAAGCCTCAAGAATAAAAATACAAGGATCCAAAAGTAAGGTTGCACACCTTGGGGGCTTATCGAGGGTCTTGAGCCTTTATCCCCTTCTTCTTTAACCTTTAGCCTAACCACGTTACAACCCTTAAAAAGACCTTTTTGAGGTATACACACACTTGTGCGAGATTCGGCTAGAGCTACGTTCGGCCTGAGCTACGTTCGGCCTGATTCCTAACGGATACGTAGGCAACCTCAGAAAGGGGTGCGGCCGTAATAAACATGCATTCATATTTACATTCATAATTGATCATATCAAGAGATCCCCTATGCTCATCCCTATCTACTTAGAGCTAGACTTGGGGCTTGATCCTTATATCATTAGCTTACCTAGCCTAAGAGTCACCATCATTTGACTCTTTTCAATATATTTTCCACACTTAGCCCCTGCAGCCTAACCTTAGTGTCACTTTCACACACTGCACAGATACATGCCCAAATAGTCCTCCCCTTAAGAACCCTTTGTCATGAGATCTTAACACGACATTGAAGCATGCCTTGTCATATCAAAATATCTCATCACTTGTAATCGTTATCGCATCACGAAGTATGAAGTGCTTAGCCTCTGTGCCTAAGTTACCTAGATACTTTCATTATCGAGTCAACTAGGATAGTCTAAGATGTTACAATCCTTGTACTATGAGAGACAACATTAACCGATTAAGCTCATTCAACATGCACCTTCAAAAACTTCTCTTCTTTCTTTTTTTTTTTTTTTTTTTTTTTTTTACGTCTTTCTTTTTCAGGAGAAAGTGGATACCCTCCACAAAAATGACGAAAATTTTTGTTTATCTGCATTTTGAGTCATGTGCATATCGAGTTTCATGAGTCAACACTACGCACACACGAGTCACATCAAGTCGAGTCAACCTCGAGTCAGTCAATCATAGTGAGTCAAGTTTATACCTTGAGGCATGTCAAGTCAATGAGTCAAGCAACACTAAGTCTTAGGTAAACCCTAAAGAAAGATAAGAAAAGTCCTATAGTCAAAGATATAAATGCAGGTGCATCCCAGTAAGTGTGGACATTCCCGGATTTTTTTTCGAAAAAAACCGCGAATATGACACAAGAGATTCCTCTAAGATAAGAGGAGTTACATAGATCAGTATATTAGAGACGAAGAGCTTTAATTTACAAAAAAATTGAGCGGATTTGGTTAAAAGGAAACGACCAAGCTCAAAGTTTGGAGCAAAACCAAGCAACAGCGGCAGCAAGAGCAGAATAGGGAAGACCCGACTCCAACGCCAGACGACAAGGTTGTGCCTGGCGACAACATCTATCGTCTAGTGACAAAGTTTAGCGCCTGGCGCTAGATCCCAGCGTCTGGCGACAGAGCCAATTCTTGGCACCAGCGATATTTCAGTAGCGACAGAGCTCGAAGCCTCTCAGAATGGTTATTTTGACCTCATACAACAATTTCAGGTTCCTTGGTACGCTTGTTAGCCCCTTTAAGCAAATTGACATGGTTAGTAGTCGGCTCGATTACAATCGTAGTAAGTGATTGACCTGACAAAAAAGCGTCTCACTAAGCTTAAGCGCCTAAGCATTGGCTCATTACAAACACCAAGGCATCGGTTCAAAAGCAAGCGCATCACTTATACAACAATTTTTCCAAAATTAGATTGTCATCTCCAACTGACAATATTTCCAAAATATGGATTGTCGCGCATCTTCTTCAAAAGGCAATTTTTCCAATATTGGATTGTCATCCATGGCAGAGTTTCCAAGCGTGGATTGTCGTGCTCCTTCTTTGTTTGGTAAGTTTTTCCAAGTTCGGATTGTCATACAATCATGGATCTTTGGCAAGTTTTCCGAGATTGGATTATCATACACCCTGTTCCCTATGGAAAAAATTCCCAAAGGATTGTCGTAGGTCTCTATTCATCATAAATTTCGGCAAAAGTTCCTCAACGTGGATTGTCATTCATTTCAGCAAGTGGCAAATTTTCCCGAAGTGGATTGTCGATCGACTCTTTTTTGGCAAATGTTCCAAGACACGGATTGTCAATTGTGGCAATATTTTCCTAAAAGGATTGTCATATAGCATTGGCAAATTTCCAAGGTGGATTGCTTTCAAGAGTTATATTCCAAGATGTGGATTGTCGATCGTAGCAAAGTTCTTATGACAGATTGTTATGAACCATTGGCAACTTTTCCCAAAATTGGATTTTGGCAAATTTTCAGAGATACGGATTGTCGCTTCTTCATAGCAACATTTCCAACGACGGATTGTTACGTAGCATTGACAAAATCGGATTGTCATACATCATACAAGAGTTGTCATGGCAATTATTCCAAAAGAAAAGAGGATTGTCATCACCCAAAGCATCAACAACAAAATTCAAACAGCATTAAGTATCAACAAGCAGTGGTCTTTTTGAAGACTATCACAGCGGAATGGAGGCAGTTACAGGC